TCACTGATTGTAGGATTTAAGTGGCTCTGTCATATAACCGGAGTTTGCTCTGTGTTGATCTCATTGTGTTTTGTGATGTTTGTAGATGTTCCCTTTGGAGATAGTGGACTCTGTGCCCATGCCGTCCCATGCTCAGGTGTTATACTCATCCGATCTGGAAGAACAGTGGAGAACCTCAGGAAAGCACTTTGAAGTCCAGAAGCCGAGGAAAGATAAATCAGGCAAGCATTCATATTATAAGTGCTGAAACAAGATTTGGAGGAAATGTAGAATTAGTGTTTTGTATTTGGCAGCAATATCTAGGCCAACAAGAAGGACCTATTTCCTGCATATATGCTAGTTTTGTTAAAACTGAAATCAATAATGATAATAATGATAGAGGGGCTGACACACACACAGTAAAGCGTATTTCTGTACATTGCAGGGCCACGCAAGAAGCCATGCAGCTTCTTCTTGGAGGGTCACTGTAGAAGGGCGGACTGTAAATTTTCTCATGATCTCACCCAGATAACCTGTAGGTTCTGGGAAGAAGGGTGCTGCTTCAAGGGTCTTACTTGTCCTTTCCTGCATGGGTACCAAAGGTAATATAAATGTTTGCTTTTTATGTCATTGAAATCATTCAGTGCATAAATCATATTTTCTACCCTTTGTTATTTTTTTTTCAATGGGGATTCATATTAAATCCACATTTTATTTTTATTTTTCAGGGAATCAAGTTCTTATGACTCTGGTTTAGAAAAGTTCCAGCTAAATGAGGAAGACTTCCCAGAATTGCATAAGGTGGGTTGTTGTGTGTTACATAATGCTCTCTGTTATATAGAAGGCTAATTTAGGAATATTACCATAAATCTTATTTTGGATGATGAAATATTTTTCTCATTGTGGACAACAATAAATCTGACTGCGCTGTAATTTGCCATTTGACATTTTATAATGAAATGTGCTTCATATTCCATTTGAGGCTAATTCCCCCCAAATAAATTAATAAAAAATAACCATTTTAAAATAGAAAGAAATACAAACAAATAAACAAAGGAAATTTTAAATTTTGATGATTGAAAAATAAGTAAAAAGGACACAAATAAAAACAAGTAAGTGCCATTAACATTTATTATAGATGGTATATGGTTTTTCTTGCTATCTCAGGGGGATGCTCCAGGGACCTCCAACACTCAGGAACAGAAAGTAGATGCCTTGTCACACCTGTTGCAGCATGAATCGCCTTGCAAGCCTCCAGACAGCCCTTGTCCAGATGAAAGCGTGGATTCACCGTCATCCATCTCAAGTAGTGATGAAGTGGAGGGCAGCTCACCACACTATGCTGCCTCTCTACCTATAGCTATCAAATCAAAGAAAAAATGATGCCCACTAGTTAGTTATGTCCTGATTTTATACTAAGAAGAAGTAGTTGACAGGAGCCTATGTGGTGGTCTAGAATGCACACATGTAATGCGTTTGTACTTGGTATGGTGTTCCTGTTACAAGATCGTGGTCCAGAGATGAGAAAAATTTTTTGAATTTCATTATATTGAGGGGTGATGCGTCTGGTTTAGTGTCCCAGTTAGTTTCCTCCTAGTATAAAAATTCACAGCTTGAAGTAAAATTTTGATAGAAGGCCAGCTATGATAAAACACATCTGAATGTGTGCTGGTATGCATAAGGTATCTGATACACAACAGTGTGCTCTTCCCCATTTGGTTTTACCTTATTTCTTGTAATCTAGAAAATATTTCTGGGTTTGGATTTGTAGTTTTGCTTCCTTTTTGTATGTTTATGGGTTGTAATATATTGGCTACAAAAGGATATTACGGGATTGATGCTTCATTTTATGTCAGTTTGATACTGTGTGCCCCATTGGGAATTGGTTATGAAAAAAAAAGAAAAAATAAATTAGGTGTCGGAGTTGCAAAGAATTCTTCTTTTAGAGTGCTATATATGAGCTTAATATGTTCAGTGCTCATTGATAAGAATCGGTGTCAAGAGAGGTTATATAATGCACATCTGACTGTTTAGCACTATATGTGTACAACATTTTATGTAACATAGTAGTGAGTAATACAATGACATAATGTATGTGTTAGTGTTATGTTGGTTAAAGGGGTTTTATGCAGGATTTTTGCTTTTGTAAATCATTCAGTTTTCATGGAATTATACATTGCTGTATCCACACAACTAGCTTGTATACCTGGATCTTAGTCGGCTTTGGAGACGCTGTTCACTCCATCATGTGACAGCCAAGTGTCATGGATGAGCGTCAGTCATGGATTGTGTCATGGATTGTGTCTGTGACACAGTTTAAGGAGCTTTAGTACCTCCTTATACTTATAGCTTCCCCCCACTGCAGGCAATGTTATTGTAGAAGTTGGGTTATATACCAAAATCATGTTGCAGCCTTATAGAAAAATGTTATTAATACCCGTACTTAAAATAGAAATACGAGGAATGCGTGTGCTCAATTCAGGAGAAAAAGGCATAAAGGTGATTTATAGGTGGGGACCCAACAGAGTAATCTGGTGGTCATAGCTAGAACCCTTGAGGATTCAAGAAAAATGCGCTTAACATGATACCTACTCCCCCCCCCCCCTCTCTAATAGAGCCCCTTTAGGCAGCAGAGGTAGTTATTCTGTTATGATGTGGTGTATGTCATGTTTGTATTGTAATTTGTAAACTTGTGTTGGTTTGTCACTGTTAGGGTATTGTTCATAAACATTGCAAATGTTTGTATTTAAAATACTGGGTTCTGTGTTTTTTTTTTTTTTTTTTTTTTTTTTTTTTTAGGTAGAAAGTGTCTTTGTTTTAGTTTTGGATTGGAAAATATGTTGATAAAAAATATCACGAGGTTGTGTCTTTAGGGCATGTAGTAAACATTTTACTACAAAGAAGTTAGAAAAGAGACTATTTCAGAGATAGTGATATGTACCCTTGAGTAGTTACAGACATCCTAGGTGTTTTTATTCCTTGTAGAAGCAGGTATAGAAATTGAAAAACAAAAAAGGACCCGTCAGCATTGTTAGTTATGAGAAGTTTAACTGTTTCAGACACTTACTTTGTTTATTGTTGTATGTAATCTTGTTCAGGTAACGTACCATGTGGAATGTTAAATATGTGTGTTTTAACTTATATTATGTATTCAAGTCATGCTAAAAAACATACATGCTCTGTCAGAGTGTACATGGTGTCTACATTGTGATTCAACTAATTAAGTTATTATGTATTAATTCAAGCTCACAGTTGCTGCTAACATACATTTTCACACAAATAATATGTATGTGAGGTGGTTGAGTTACCTATCAAGTTCAAGTTTTGTAAATAATTAAAATTAATTTTAATATGTTTCTTGGCTATTTATTTAATGTGAAGTTAAAAAGAAAAGAGAGGCGGTAAATGAACTTTGAACATGGTTAAGAATCGAGCGTTTTGCATACTATGGTTTCTAACTTTTACATTGAGAATAAAATTAAATATTCTACATTTAAAAAGAAATACATATATGCATACATCTAATGCTAATGTTAATTTTTGTCATTTAATTCTGGATTGAAATGTGTAATTCTAAGGCAGTGATTCATGGTTTTGATGTTCATTAGTTTTTTGCTGTATTAGCATAAGTGGGATAAACTGAAGATAGCAATGTTTATAAGCATTTTGTGTATGCATATCATTTATTTAGTTTCTTAATATGCCGGGTTGTTTTTTCTTTGTTAGATCTGTCAAGTGACCTATTGCAAATTTTAAATTGCTTAGGATAAGAAAACATGCAATATAAGTAAGTGTATTATGGGAGTGGATGGGGTCAACTATATCAACAGCGTGCCCATTGCAAATACATTTGCAAGTGAACACATTGTTTATTGAAAGAAAAACTGCACTCTGCAAGGGATTTTTGTCTTTATTTACTGATGATGGACATCAACTTTGAATGCAGAATTGTTTGTCAGATACAATATTTATAGGTTTTTTATTATCCAAGGGTAGTATTTTAAATGCAGAATAGAACCCAAGTAGCAGAAAGGTACTAAAAATGTTTAAAAGTAAAATAAAAACTGGTTTGCTTGCAGGTTTTATTTTAGGGTATTACAGTTTGATAGTTCTTTCTTTCACTCATTAATGTTGTTACAACCTGTTACAGTAGTAGTTGAGAAAAAATTAGCCAAACAGGCTTTTCTAACAACAGAGCTTCTATTTAAAGATTAATCATTTATTATAAAAAGTTTGATTGAAGAACTTGGTTGAGTAAACTGACATTCTAATAAAGGTCCAGAAAAAGTGAAAATTGTTTGGTAACAGGCACAAACCATCCAACAATAAAGCATTGTCATTTGTTCACAACTTGTTTTTATATGAATTGACATACGGTACTAATACAATAAAGGAAAAACTGTAATGGCAACAATAAAGGGTTTGTTGACTGCACTATGAATTTGACACATTGCCTAATTTTTATGTACAGACACGTGTCTGTACAAATAGCCGTCACCAGTGTCTGTCGTCGCCGTTGGCGTGCACTTTTACCGATAACTTAATAAGTGGAAAACCTTTTGTCTTGAAACTTACAGAACTGATGAATATTCATAATATGCAGGACAAGTTCGAAAATCAGCATGATCGGGCCATTTTTAGGGAAGTTATGCTGTTTTTTCCCTTTTTTCAGCATTTATGCAACACAGATAACACGATAAGTGAAAAAACATTTTACCTTTTGGCTTGAAACTTACAGAACTGATGAATATTCATAATACGCAAGTCAAGTTAAAAAATCAGCATGATCGGGCCATTTATATGGAAGTTGTGCTGTTTTCTCACTTTTTATGTACAGACACAGATGTGTCTGTACATATAGCCATCCCCTGCGTCTGTCGTCGCTGTGCATTTTTACCGATAACATGATAAGTGGAAAACCGTTTTTTCTTTTGGCTTGAAACTTACAGAATTGATGAATATTCATAATACGCAGGTCAAATTCGAAAATCAGCATGATCGGGCAATTTTTATGGAAGTTGTGCTGTTTTTTTGTTTTGTTTTGTTTTTTTTATTATTTTCAGCATTGTTATCACACCGATAAAAAACGTTTTTCCTTTTGGATTGAAACTTACAGAACTGATTAACATTCATAATATGTAGGTAAAGTTTGAAAATCAGCTTGATTGGACTATTTTTACAAAAGTTATGCTCTTTTTGTTTTTCTTTATTCAGCATATATGCAACACTG